GGGGGGGGGGGGGGCCCCCGGGTGGGGGGCCCCCCCCCCCCCCCCCATAATAGCAAATATTCAGATAATAATACGTATGACATTTATACTACTTGGGGAAAAAAATTACATCATGACCAATATTCATTTGGTAATCACTCCTTCCGCTAGTTACCTAAGTTTGAGCATTGGTTCACTCCTTTTATTTCAGTACAGAAAAAACACATCCTCAAACACTGGTCATACTGCAGGGTTTGTTCTCCTTTAAAACGTCACAACAGAGGTGAAGCCAATGTACTTTATCCACAAACCTACAACACCATTAAATGGTGAAATGGCTTATATAGGAATTTAATGATAATTTATGCAGACTAATTGAAATGGCTCAGGAACACATGCATCCCTGTGGATGTACTGAAGCGATCAGTGTACAGTATGTGACCTGCTATGACTCACAGGCAGCCTGCACAAATATATATTTTGCATAAACCATCATCCCGGTGAAATGAGAATGGAAGGTGATTCACTCCATCCCACTCAGTTTGGATGCACTCGTCACAGTTTGATGAAAACATTTTGCCTAATGAGGTATCATTGATTAATTTAGTATATCCCTGTAAATCCAAGGTGACACTTCACAAGTCTCATGCTGCTTTCGTGCCTCACGGAAAGGGCAAACCCCCCCCCCCCCCCTTCCCCTCCCCACCCAGACGTGAAGCTTCGACACCTATTTATTCAGGACTGGCCAACCCACCTGGTCTGCTATGAAATAACGAGGCGGGGCATCCTTGGGCTTCGCCATTTCTCACAGCTGATCTTTGACTGCTTTCACCGTTGTCAGAGTGAAACGAGAGCAGCTTTGTAATGCCTTAGGCTCCCATTGTAACTAGGCTCACCTGGTGTCAAATACCCTGTCATATTTCTGCATCATGGTCCCCGTTCTTTCATGCTGTGCCTCCTCTGGGTGGAACAGAATGTGATGTATCCGTGGCAGTGAAACAAAATATAACTGAATATACTGAAATCAGTTAGAAACATTAATTGTGAAACACTTCTTCCTGCACTTGCTGATGCCCTAATCAACAGCAAAACTTTAACAATACAAAGGCAGCCGCCTCCCACCTGTGGGTCTATTTGATTCTTCAAATCGATTTCATTTCATTCTTGAAGTGGGAATGACTTCATTATTATAATTTTGTTGAGGCAATACCAATTATAATTTAATACAGGTAATTCTGAATACATCTTGTGACTGTTTATTGTAAATCTGACTAGAAGTGCCAATGTTAAGCCATTTTTGGCAAAAACAATAAAGTGTGTGTACTTTGCATGGTAATTATAAGCACAGAATATCATTGTCTTTCTCACATTAATTACCATATTCAAAGTATTCCATAATTTTTTGTCCTTGAAGGAATCCCATGCCTTTGTATACTGTACAAGTCTATTTTTCTGTATTTATCATTTCTATCATGTAGTAATGACTCTTATTTTTTACTGAAAATGTCCTTATGTAGCATAGTCTGGAAAACCTTTTGACCCGTAAGCTCCTACAAACCATCATCCAATAACAATGCAGACCTCAGCTATTTTAATGACCCCCGATTGGAGGACTGCTTGTGGGTGGTGCCATTTTTGGCAGCAGCATTATATAGCTGTATTACAGTGGTACCTGTTATTCTGAAGCGATGATGTGGGTTTCATGATTACAGCTGTCCAAGGGTAGGAGGAAGCAATGGTCTTCAGGCTCCTGCTATAATCATCGGGAAGGTGAAACTCAGAATGCATCATCAAAGACACATGTGAACATTCAAGTTAAAACATTTCCAGAGAACCCGTTAATAGATGCAGAAATTAAAATGACTATAGAGATTTACTAATCACTTTAATAAACATTATGGGTTAATCTGTCAGTATGTAAGCCGGTAGGCTAAGCAGTGCCCTTTAACGTGGTCACAATGATGGGATTGCCATGATGTATGTCACAGGTTTTTTATCTTGTAAATAGTCTGTAGGGTTTACATTTACTCTAACGTTTCTGATGTAGCTAATTTGCTAATTTTAGGCTTTGGATGGAATAATAAAGATTCGCCGTAAGATTTCTTGCATGAGTGTGAGAGTCTGAAAGCTTGAGTTTCATGGCAAATGCGTGAGAGTTGGCAACCCTGCATTGATTTGAGAGTGATTTGAAAGTGATTTGATCTTTTCATATCAGCTAGCCAAGTCTGACACTAGTAGAAGATAATGACTGTCATTCTTTCTCCAGGCGGGATGGTGAGCATCACCATGTGACACCAGGATGGCTGGAGGTAATGAGGCTTTATGTGAGATCATGAGGTTAGACAGATTCAAAACACACATATAATGAGGTTAAATGTCACCGAAAAGGCCACATCTTGGGATCTGCATTTGTTTTCTGAGTACAGGTGTAAACAAAACTATTTATGCAATAATTGGGAAGTAAGCAAAGGTGAAATGAATGTGTGTACATAATACACACAAAAAAAATCATTTGACGGGGGACATACTGAAACATGATTATTTTTGAACCCTCAACACAAACAAGCTCAAGCCCCAGCAAGCCACATTTCTGAGCCAGTGCTTGAGGGATGGCTAATTGATGGCGAAGAAGTGTTAGGTGAAGCTTTTTGACAGCAGACTTTGAGAGTGTACTTTGAGAGTTTGGCCTCTCTGCTGCCATCAGGTGGTGAAATTCAATCAGGCCATTTAATACTTAAAAATCCATCCATTTTCGGTAACCAGTTGTCCTGTTCAGGGTTGCAGGGGGTCCAGAGCCTATGGGCACAAAGCAAGGAACAACCCAGGATGGAGTGCCAACCTTTTGAAGGGCACAGTCACGCACACAATTTGGTGTCTCCAGTCAACCTGTGTTTGAATCGTGGAGGGGAAAGTGAAGTAACTGGAGGAAGCCGTACAAGAACACGGGGAGATCATACAAACTCCACACATGTGGAGCCATGGCAGAGACGAGAACGTGCCACCCCCATTTTCCAACCACACATCCTTATCAGGGTCTCAGAGGGATTTGGACTCTCTGTCTGGCAGCTTAGAACTCAAGGAATAGACACACCCTGGACAGGATGGCAATTCATCACAGGGTAGACTCCCATTCATACAATACAGGGAATTTAGAGATGTCAGTTAGCCTAACTGCATGTCCTTGGACTGCAAGGGGAAACCAGAGAACCCACAGCAACTCACACAATACAGGAATGACATGCAAACTTCACACACAACAGCACTAAGATTCAAAACCCCAGCAGTGGATGTTTGAGGCAACAGTGCTATTAAAGTAATGATCAAATGAATATTGTCATATATTTATTTCACCCCTGTTCCCTGAAAGAAAAATCATCTCAAAATAAGT